ATTCAAAAAAAAGTGAATTCATTTTACATTGTATCTAAAATGTATATATAAAAATAAGAAAACTTTGCCCGTGCGTTTAGCACGGATGATAATAAAAATGGATTCGTCTTCTTCTTACATAATAGCACAAATCATAAAATGATAATAACAATATTCAAAACATTTGTAATGCACTAACATTTCAGATGGTAAAATAGTAAGCATATACAATAGTAGTAAAGTAAAATAGTAATCATAAAGTTTGCAAGTGAGTGGGCTCCACACCAGACAGACGTAATCCGTAAGCCGTCACATCATCGCCACGTCAGCAACAGACTTCTCCTTTCCGACGTGTCACAGCAGCGTCCGATCCACGTGTGTTTTAGAAGAACCTCTTCTCCTCCACACAATTACCAGATTCCGACACAGATCCTTTCCCCTCTCTTTATATGTTTAACCTCTCTATGTTTCACATTAGAATAGGGATCCAACAATCTTCAATTTTCCAGAGGCAATCAAAGGTAAATTATGATGAGAGAGATAAAGCATAACCATTGCATTTTCTTAAAGCACTAGATTATCTTTGTTTTTCAAAGCAAAACACGAGTTTGTTTGCGATTTCTATCTCATATTTCTAAGCAGTAATGACAAACATCAGTGTAGAACTATTCCAAAACCTTTTAGTAAGGTCTTCATGGTGTCTACAATCATTGCGAAAGGAGTTCATGCAACAGCAAAACTTAATGCCAAGATGAAAATCTTCTAAGAAGATGCAAATCAGTTTGAAATGGCTGACCGTAAGGGAGTGCTTAGGAAAGCATATCTTCTCAAAGGTTGCTGACTTAGTTAGAAGCTCGGTCGTTCGTCTCATTTTTTGTCGATGAAGAGATAGACATATCAGATCTGGTTTCTTCATAGACAGTATTGGAACAATCGTAAAAGGAATTAACCTCAACCCTTCTTCCTGAAGCTGTTACGCCAAGGCCGAATACTCCAATCACCAAACCTTCGACAATAAGAAGAGGTGCTCCACATGTACTCTGCAAAGAAACAAATTATGTGATTTACATAACAAATATACTTGCACCAACAACTATAATTCACAATAAATATATTCACCAAAAAAGTTACACAATCGGTCTGAAAAAACTTCTCCCAGGTTCTCCATCCCGATTTTTCTATCCATGCGGTTTGCGTGGCTAAAAAAGAAAACATGGTGATATTATTATAAACGTTATTAACAAAGATTAAACGAAGATATTAACAAATTAATAAGTAATGATGACTACTATATTACTCCAGTTGTGATGAATTTATTAAAGCCCATAGATCCATAAGAACATACAGATTCACCCTGGCGAACTCGGTGACAAATACCGAGTTTCGCCGGTGAATAAGTATATATGGCTGGTTTGATGAGTGGTTTGATCACGGCGTATCAAACGGCACATCGATATGAGCAGGTGCAACAGAAAACACGGTGCCTTCATGAGTAGTTACCGTCAAAAGTCTCTTCTGAACTAAAAGTCTCGGGTATAAGCAAATTAAGGAGAGTCCACAGTTCGTAAAGATTGTTATGCATATACAACGAAAACATGAAGTCTACAAATATACTCGTACAAAAATTACACAAAGTAAGAGAAAATAGAGAAAATAAATATTTGAAGTTGTATATTG